ATAGTTATTTCCTTTACCCTTAATGACTCTTTGCAAAATTTGAAATCTATGTTCAAATGCATTACATTATTTCCACTTGCAAATGCATCAGAAATCTCAGAATTTATTTTACTGAAGAAAGCCTTTTAACACAGTTGATTGAGTTCTAATAGTTCAAAAGCTTTTGAAATATCGGTAAATTGTGTTTGATATCTTTAGACACGTTAGAACCTAGTGTTTGTATACTGAGAGGTCATTAGCATCGCTCGAAACTAGAATGTACACAAATGCAATTATGATGGTTCAAACAGTATTTCAGATGACACAAAACATTATGCTTGTCGTCAATTTATTGCCAAATATTATATTTATTACAGGTCAAAATTTTACACTGGTGTTTTCATAAAATTCAATTTTCCTAGCAATAAAAACCGGCTTGAAAATAATACAGTGCAATTAGTTTTAAAATGCTAGCTTTTCCAGTTCATGAATAATATGCCTTAGATAAGATTTTCGTCTATTTTATCACTGTTTTCTTCTGTCAGCACAGAATTCCTTGTGGTGATTGAATTCCCAAATTTATCATGATCTGGTTTTTTACCACAAAAAAATCGCTTAAAGGCTCGCCTATAGTCCGACTTGTAAAATGAATAAATTAGAGGGTCGGCTAAAGCGTTTCCTACCAGTGAATAAAGGGAGACATCAAGAAATACATTCGGAATTATGTGGGAATAATCTAGTGCGGAAAACACATTAATAATTATCAAAGGAAGCCAGCATACTGCAAAGGTTCCTCCTACAAGAGCAAAAACTTTGGCCGCTTTCACTTCGTTGGAAATGGTAATTGACCGCCTCTTTCTCATTGATCGCCCTGATTGTCTGTCTGGGAGAACACTGTGTTCAAATCGTGCGTTTGTTTCGTGCATTTCAATCATTTGTTTTACTTGACGTCGCGTGGCACCAAAAATCTTTCCATATGCCCAGCAGATAGACCCTGAACACAGAGTGACCAGAGCAACCAAGATTCCTTGGTAAATACGACCGGCCAGTAATTTAACACCGTTCCGATACTCCCAGAAAATTGGTATGATCGCTAATAAGAGGGGTATAGTCCACACCAGGGCCAAGATTTTGTAGACGATCGCGCGTGTTACCACTGACCTGTACATGAGAGGATTAAGAACGGCTTGGTACCTGTCCCAAGTAATGCCACAGAAATTAAACAGATATGCAAACAGAATGTAGGCAATAATATAGGGATTGACTGCCAGACCAGCTAGATAAGTCGGGATGAAAACCGTGGCCACCATAAGATCGCTTATCGCCAGGCTGACAATAAAAGTATTTGTTATCGTTCGGAGGGCACGGAACCGACAGAAAAGTATACAAACAAGCCCGTTTGAAACCAAAACAGCGAAGCCTATCACTGTCAAAGGCACGCTGTAATCTAAGCCGAGTTCGGGCAAATCTTCACCGGTTTTGTTGGCCTCCCTCCTAAAGATAGCAGTCAAATTGCCATCACATGACTGGTTTTTCTCCATTAGTTCCAGTTTTCCAGCCACGTTAACGTGATTTTCCTCAAACTAATCCCCTGTATAGCGAAACTTTTGATCTGATCAAACGCAGAGGCAGCTACGTATTTTAGTCCTCATTCGATTTCGCTGGTCTTGAAGCGCTGTCGAGCAAAAAACAAATCACGACGGCTGTTTAGACTCGTGTCGAGCCTGTGCCTAAACTAAGTGAAAACAAATATTCCCCTTCAGCTTTATCAGGGAAACACGTTTTGTACTGTAAATATGCTTTAATTTTGTTTCAAAATATATGTTAATTTGTGGCTCAAGCCTTACGTTAATTAAAGCTTATTTCAATTTCATCCAATAGTAATGTCCATTTACAGAGCAGCTTTTGACGCGTTGCTATTTTCTTTTGTCCTTTTTCTCTTTCATTTTCAACAGCTGGAAAACATTGCTCTCAAAATGTTTCCTTTCCTCTTATTGTCACAGAAACAGCCATCAATACAAAACGCGTTTCCAACAGAGAAACACGAATTTATGTTTTTCTAGGCCGTGTAAAATCTGTAAACACCACGCTGCGCGCAGTTACTGAGGTGCAATACATCTGCAATGATTTTTGTTTTTTTCATCAACTGGCCTCCAAAAGCAAATAAATTCAATTTGGAGATTGTTAATACAAATACATGGGTCGGCTGATGCTAATCAGTGATCCTCCTTTTGTCTCCTGCTTCATCAGAGTCGTTTGATGATAACTATGACAACTAAATATTCCGCAAGTTCCTTCCAATGTCGGTTTCCTTGTAAGTTGAATAATATATATATATATAGCTTTTTCATTGCGGCTTTTATCGCTCTCTATTTAGTACATTATGTTGTGAAATAAATTAATTCAAAATTAAGCAACAAGCCGTCATGATAAGAAATCGATGGCACAATTTACGTTTACGTTAAAATCCAAACTTGTTTATACCAATGAGGACAAAAATTACCCAAAATTTAGAGAAAAAACCTTTGTTACTGATAAATATGTCATTCGACTCGGTAAGAGCTCAAATCCTTCATCTAAAATGACAAAGCAAAGGCTATGATATCTATGTTATTCAAATCCATTATAAACATTAGAACCTACTGTTTCAACGTTCGGTCACTGGACACTCCCTAATGAAACAAACGAGCCGAATACTTGATCTTTAATGTCATTCATTAGTTCAAAAAAGCATACAAGTCATTAGCAAGAAATAACTATTGTTGTACCAACGAGTATTTAGCAGACAATAGCATTTCCTTACCCATGTATTTGAAGTTTGTGAACCGAAAATTATTTCAGTAAAATGTCTGAACTGCCCTTTTATTGAAAAAAGAAATGACAAATAATGAATTTAAAACAGTGGACAATGTTAATCATGTTTTTAATCTACAATTTGGCCGTAGGTTTTTATGCAGAGTACATTACGGATCGTAAAACCATCGTAACTGACTAGAACGAATCATCTATTTTTCCTGCTCTAAAACTGATGAATACATGGATAATTCAATAAGTAGGACAATCTTTCCAATCATGGTCCTAAATGCCTCTGCCTAGAAAAACCCCTGATTACTTTTATTTTCAGTTTTACCGGTAAAAACTTAAAGACAAAAAAAATTGAAAACATTTTGGTATCATGGATAACTGGCACGAAAATAGATTTAGGATTCCGTTTTTTAGAAGGATAAGGTCCTATCCGGCATGGCAGGCCAATATTTGTCTTAGTGAAACAAAAAAGCAAACAACTATAGCTATCGGTAAAAAAAACTGGCAAAAATTATCTCGACGTTGTAAGATTTTCTGTATGGAATGTTTTTGAAATCCCCAGTTGTATTCCTTTTATGGGACTTGAGTTTAATCTGGAAAAAGCTTGTTTTCATTTGAAGATCAAGATTTATTTAAATGCGCGTTCCGAACAGCTACCAAAAATCGCATAACAATGATAATCAACCTGGGTATTTTTAACTTAATCTTAAGGCTCCTTCCACCTTTGGAAATTTAGAGCTTTTATCCTTAATCCGTACGATTTTTAAAGACCCCATGAATCGCCCAAGGTATTTGCAAAAATTTTTTTTGATAAATGTGGACAGATAAAACCCTCCCATTCAGTAAGGCATTTATTCTGACAAGGAATCTGTCTTCGGCTGTCAATAAAATGTATTTGTCAAAAATCGGCCAGTTTATAAGAAGGATGTGAAAACTTGTTCCTATTCTTGTAGGCAATAGAGGACCCCGTTTGTAATGCAAAAAAGGGAACGTCATTACACTCGAAACCACCTTAAATCGTGTAAAATTTATTGTATATTTCTAATGTACATATCAACTCTTGCGCTTGCAAGAATATACCATCAAGAACCCGCATGTTTTCTATCCACGTGGGAAAATTCTCACTCATATTTCTCAGCGCAATTGCAGCGCTGTTGTTTCTACGCTTTCCTTCATTCCTTAGGGCTATACCGAATGATTTACCTAAAGGTGTTTTATAACTTGCTGCTCAAAGATAACGAAGCTTTTCAGTTTACTGTGAACCCTTGTCCGGCAGAATAAATGACTGTAAATAAATGAAAATCAATATGTGAACTGAGATTGAATAAACGAATATGAAAGCGATCCTGGCAGTAATGAACACTACTCAAGTAGTAATGGAAATAAGGCCTGAAAAAAATTAAGGCCCGTATGGGATTTGAACCCATGACCTTTGCGATACGGGTGCAGCGCAGTTGGTAATACGCTGCATCGGTATCGCATAGGTCATGGTTTCAAATCCCGTAGGGGCCTAAATCCGTTTCCGGCAGTTTTTCTCTTCCTTATCCGATTGCTCGTTCTGATGGAAAATGCTATTCCTAAATGATGTCGGTCACGCTTTACATTCTCTCCTGGAAAAAAGGGTCTTAACTTTTGAAAATTCCGTGCGAGTACAGCGTAATAACCTCAGTTGTCGGTTAGAATAAAATATAAACTTTAATTGAACCATATTGTTTGGTCTCCATTGCTGCTGGAGAACATCCTGTTATTACGAACCCTGATCGGATTATCATACTACGAGAAAATAATGAGCGCCAGGGGTGAAACTCAATGAGCCGCGTGCAGTCCTAGTTTTGTAACATGATATATAGTTGGCAGATCATCTTGCATCCTTTCACCGTTTTTTTTTTTTAATATCAATTTTTAAAATTATTTCGTTGTCTTTAAGGGAAAATCTAATTTATAAGTTTTACTCAGAGGAGAGTTTGCTTATCATCCTATGATCTATATTGTTAAGGGTAAAATCGTAAAAAGTACAAATAAAAGAAACAGTTATTACATGCATTAACGATCTTAATATTTCACCCGCGAGTTCGAGAAATTGCATTAGACTGAACTTTCAAATTATCATTAGTACTGGACTCTCTAAATAATTTTGGTTTATTGCATGAACTAAACATCGCGGCAACCTCCTAACTGAATAATTACAATCATGTTGGAGCCAATCAGATTTATAAACAATGAATATAGATAAATACAGATGTTCAGATAATACCTGGTTATTAATATCTAGTATAACTCTTACTTACTAAAATCACCCTGGCAACAGATCGTCAGGGTTCAGTTACTCCTGTCATGCAAAAAACCTTAAGGGTAAATAGTTTCTTTACTCCTAGTGATGTTTTTAGTGCACAATGTAAAATACTCATTTATATTGATAAGCTACGTCGGTTTAGAATGAAGGTTCACCCGCACGTGATGTGATGAGTTCTATTCGCATTTTGATTGGTCCTTATATTAAATCTGAGCAGTTTAGAAATACGTTCATCATGTTCGCCGCTTGTCCGACTAAATTGAATATGCTCACTAGTATCATTAACCAAACCATTGAAGGGATTTTGAAATTTTTTGAGTTGCTAGATCTGATTCCAAAAGAGTAATTGTATGGTTGTTTGAGTTCAAATCAGCTGAACAATGCAACACAAGATCTCGAGTTCTGATTTGTGGAAATATTATCCTTCATAAATTTTGTTTACCTTATATGCAATGACCTATTTGTTATTTTTTGTGACTAATATCGGTTTTCTTTTTTAAATTCAATTATGACGGCCATTCTCTAAGACATTTCTCCCGTTTTATTCCGATAGGTGTTAATGCAGAGTAGAGTTCATTTTGCATGACCGGTCAATTAATCAACATGATGGAAAATGAACAAATTCTTTTTATAAGCACGTTATCAAAGATGAAGTATTCTTTTTTTCCAATGGATAAAATTCTGTTCATCGCCTAATCAGTATTTTCACTATAGGCGGCTTTAACTCCCAGTTCCACTTCATTTAGACGCGTTTGGTTTGGCTCATCTAACTCCTCATCGGTTTTTCCACTTGGTCGTGTTCGCTCTGAGACTGGTTCTTGCTTACTCGCTGGCAAACAGATATGACGGATCTCACGTCGGAAAGACCTGTTCATACCAGCGTAAATGAATGGATTTATAGTGGAAGAGAAAAACACTAAGAAACTGACGAACAAAGCCACGTTTCTTGGAAGACTCTTAACGAGTTTGAAGCGAAACAGTAGAGCCAAAATCCATAGCGGGATCCAGCAAAATGCAAACACTATTACCACGACAAATAAGGACATGCTGATCTTCAACTCACGCCTGGAGATTTTCACTCGAGAGAAATTATTGCTGCTGGCTTGTAACGACGGCATTACATTCTTGTTATGCAGCTTAATGGTTCGGAAAATCTTGTAGTAGCAGAAAGATGTGATAACAATGGGAGCCACGACAAAAACGGGGATAACAATGCTGTAATGAACGATCTTTTGCGTCTCTTTGAGATGAGTCGTGGAACAAACAGCATAGCCAGGAACGAATCGGATGGCCTGGTTTCCCGCGAATACCTGTATTAAGATGTACGCGATCGCAATACACCACACAGCTATGATCCAAATTTTGCTTTTCCTCATGGAGAAAAGTTTGGGGTACATGTTTGTCCTCACAATTCTTACGTATCGGTTGAAAGCTGTTAAAGCCATTAGGCAAGGTGAGACATATATATTCAGTACGACGAAAAAACCCTGAATGTTACAATAAAAATCACTGAACCGCCAGTCTCCAGTAATCAATACCGCAGATGAAATTGGCATCACAAATATGGCTGAGCTGAGATCACCCACAGCTAAAGCAACGATGTAAAGATTGGTTGTGGTT